GGGGCTGACGGAGGCAGAAAAGGGGCGTATTCAGAAGGCCACCAGGTTACGGGGGCCACTGGTCAAAGTAGGGAAAGAAGGTTTAGAGGCACGGCGAGAGGTACTGGGGTGTGTTACCAGTCCGGTCCGGCCCGTTCCAGATCCCGGGGTAGAGCCAGTGGTGTGTGTCCCCAGTACGGTCCGGCCTGTTACGGCCCCTCGCACCAAATGTACGGTGCGCGTCACCAGCCCGGTCCGGCCTGTTCCTGCCTCTCGCACCAAGCCTACGGTGTGCGTCGCCAGCCCGGTCCGGCCTGTTCCTGCCCCTCGCACCAAGTCTACGGTGTGCGTCGCCAGCCCGGCCCGGCCTGTTCCTGCCACTCGCACCAAATCTACGGTGTGCGTCGCCAGCCCGGCCCGGCCTGTTCCTGCCCCTCGCACCAAACCTACGGTGTGCGTCGCCAGCCCGGCCCGGCCTGTTCCTGCCACTCGCACCAAACCTACGGTGTGCGTCGCCAGCCCGGCCCGGCCTGTTCCTGCCACTCGCACCAAACCTACGGTGTGCGTCGCCAGCCCGGCCCGGCCTGTTCCTGCCACTCGCACCAAGCCTATGGTGCGCGTCGCCAGCCCGGCCCGGCCTGTTCCTGCCACTCGCACCAAGCCTACGGTGCGCGTCGCCAGCCCGGCCCGGCCTGTTCCCGCCACTCGCACCAAGCCTACGGTGCGCGTCGCCAGCCCGGCCCGGCCTGTTCCTGCCACTCGCACCAAGCCTATGGTGCGCGTCGCCAGCCCGGCCCAGCCTGTTCCTGCCACTTGCACCAAGCCTACGGTGTGCGTCGCCAGCCCGGCCCGGCCTGTTCCTGCCACTCGCACCAAAGCTACGGTGCGCGTCGCCAGCCCGGCCCGGCCTGTTCCTGCCACTCGCACCAAGCCAGGGGTGCGAGTCGTCAGCCTGGTTCAGCCTGTTCCTGCCACTCGCACCAAGCCAGGGGTGCGAGTCGTCAGCCTGGTCCAGCCCGTTCCTGCTACTCGCACCAAGCCAGGGGTGCGAGTCGTCAGCCTGGGCCAGCCCGTTCCTGCTACTCGCACCAAGCCAGGGGTGCGAGTCGTCAGCCTGGTAAAGCCCGTTGCTGCTCCACGCACCAAGCCAGGGGTGCGAGTCGTCAGCCCGGTAAAAGCCCGTTCCGGCTCCACGCACCAAGCCAGGGGTGCGCATCGTCAGCCCGGTCCGGCCCGTTGCTGCTCCACGCACCAAGCCAGGGGTGCGAGTCGTCAGTCCGGTGAGGCCCGTTCCGGCTCCACGCACCAAGCCAGGGGTGCGCATCGTCAGCCCGGTCCGGCCCGTTGCTGCTCCACGCACCAAGCCAGGGGTGCGAGTCGTCAGCCTGGTAAGGCCCGTTCCTGCTCTACGCACCAAGTCAGGGGTGCGTATCGTCAGCCCGGTCCGGTCCGTTCCTGCTCCACGCACCAAGCCAGGGGTGCGTATCGTCAGCCCGGTCCGGTCCGTTCCTGCCTCACGCACCAAGCCAGGGGTGCGCGTCGTCAGTCCGGCACAACCAGTGCCTGGGTCACCGGTGCCTAATCAGGTACCGCTCAACTGCTCCACAACGGAGCTGAAGCTAACCGCTCCTGCTACGTCCAGTTCAGCTCCAGCCAGCGGGGCCAGACCGGACCAGGGGCGCTATGGGGGGAGTATTGGAGGGTGGTGGGCAAGCCTGGAGCCAGAACCGCCGCCGAGGAGGAATGCCCACCCAGCCCTCCCCTGTTTTGCTCTAGTTGAGGCGCGGTCGCAGTCCGCGCCTTTAGGGGGGGTACTGTCACACCCTGGCTCTGGGACTCTATATGTTGAGCCAGGGTGTGTTCATTCTATGTGTTATATCTCTATGTTGGGAGTTCTAGTTTGTCTGTTTCTATGTTGGCCTGAGTGACTCCCAATCAGAGGCAACGAGTGTCAGCTGTGGCTGGTTGTCTCTGATTGGGAGCCATATTTAAACTGTCTGTTTTTCCCTTTGTGTTTGTGGGTTCTTGTTCCGTGTTGGTCTATGTTACCTAGGACGTTACGAGTCGTTTGTTGTTTTGTTCATTGTCAGTATTTATCACTATAGATAAATAAACATGTTCGTTCATCACGCTGCGCCTTGGTCTATTCTGTACGACGATCGTGACAGTGATCACATAGTCATCCGGAACAGCTGATGCTCTCATGCATGCTTCAGTGTTGCTTGCCTCGAAGAGAGCATATAAGTGATTTAGCTCGTCTGGTAAGCTTGTGTCACTGGGTAGCTCGCTGCTGTGCTTCCCTTTGTGGTCTGTAATCGTTTTCAAGCCCTGCCACATCCGACAAGCGTCAGAGCCGGTGTAGTATGATTCAATCTTAGTCCTGTATTGACTCTTTTCCTGTTTGATGGTTTGTCGTAGGGCATAGCGGGATTTCTTATAAGCGTCCGGGTTAGAGTCCCGCTCCTTGAAAGCGGCAGCTCTACCCTTTAGCTTAGTGCGGATGTTGCCTGTAATCCATGGCTTCTAGTTGGGGTACTGTGGGGACGACGTCATCGATGCACTTATTGATGAAGCCAGTGACTGATGTGGTGTACTCCTCAATGCTATTGGAAGAATCCCGGAACATATTCCAGTCTGTGCTAGCAAAACAGTCCTGTTGCTTAGCATCTGCGTCATCTGACCACTTCTTTATTGACCGAGTCACTGGTGCTTCCTGCTTTAGTTTTTGCTTATAAGCAGGAATCAGGAGGATAGAGTTATGGTCAGATTAGCCAAATGGAGGGCGAGGGAGAGCTTTGTACTCATCTATGTGTGTGGAGTAAAGGTGGTCTAGAGTTTTTTTTCCTCTGGTTGCACATTTAACATGCTGGTAGAAATTAGGTAGAACAGATTTAAGTTTTCCTGCATTAAAGTCCCCGGCCACTAGGAGCACTGCCTCTGGATGAGCATTTTCCTGTTTACCTATGGCCTTATACAGCTCATTGAGTGCAATTTTAGTGCCAGCATCGGTTTGTGGTGGTAAATAGACAGCTACGAAAAATATAGATGAAAACTCTATATCTCTTATCATGAGATACTCTACCTCAGGCGAGCAAAACCTAGAGACTTCCTTAGTATTAGATTTTATGTACCAGCTGTTGTTTACAAATGTACACAGACCGCCACCCCTTGTCTTACTGGAGTCAGCCGATCTATCCTGCCGATGTAGCGTATATCCCGCCAGCTGTATGTTGTCCATGTCGTCGTTCAGCCACGACTCTGTGAAACATTAGAGATTACAGTTTTTAATGTCCCGTTGGTAGGATAACCTTAATCTTAGGTCGTCCAATTTATTTTTAAATGATTGAACATTGGCTAATAGGATTGATGGAAGAGGCAGTTTACTCGCTCGCCGTCGGATCCTTACAAGGCACCCCTACCTACGTCCACGATGTCTCTGTCTCTTTCTCATGCGAATGACGGGGATTTGGGCCTTGTCGGGTGTCTGTAGGATATCCTTCGCGTCCGACTCATTTAATTTTTTGTCCAATTCGAGGTGAGTAATCACTGTCCTGATATCCAGAAGCTCTTTTTGGTCATAAGAGACGGTGGCAGAAACATTATGTACAGAATAAATTACAAATAACTTGAAAAAACACACATAATAGTACAATTGGTTAGAGGGCTGTAAAACGGCAGCCATCTTCTCCGGCGCCATCATGTTAGTCGCTATCCCTTTGTATTGTGTCCCATATTAAACAGCTACCTGACATGTTTGAAGAATACACAGGCGCCCACCCCCACCATTCAATTACATTTTAGTCATTTAGCAGACGCTCTTATCCAGAGCGACTTACAGTTAGTGAGTGCATACATTATTTTAATTTAATTTTTCATACTGCAATGCAGTGCGTTAGACCACTGCGCCACTCGGGAGTTCCCAATTCAATATTAACAAAAGACTAATAAAAAGTAATAGATGTGTCTTGTATAATTTTAATGCAGAACGCAAGGTCTCTCCCAGTTCAGACACCTGTCTGTTAGTCAGGGGACTCCATGACAAACCATCTCTCCTGTCCTTCATCTGTAGAAAAACAAGATCGAGTTGATACACACAGCACTGAATACATTGTCAATGGTTGTTAGGTGAATTCCAGGACAGACAAGTTAAGCTAATTTGACCTATGACCAAATCAAATGTGACCAACCTGAAGTGGGACTGGTGCCTGGCCTCATACTGCCTCAGCGTTCTGCTCCTGGTATGGTAGGTGGGGTTCCCACAACACTGCTGAACAACAAATCCACCAGGTTTTCTAAGTAACCTGTGAATTAAATTAAATATAATCACAGTAAACATATAGCGAGAAAAACAACTTTTCTCTACTTTTGAGTACACACAGTGATGTGGGCTGGTGTGGCTAAAATACCAGGGCTGAATTTTTGTCCCAGTATGCCCCTGCCTGTCACTGCGCAAAATTCTCACCCTCTTATTTTTGTCACAACCTGTGAAAATAGCTATTTTTGAAGATTTTCCCTGCAGGTGTAGCATTTTGGAACAGTGGAGTACATTTTGGGAACCTTTTTTGTGGAAAAAATCATAATGGATGTTGCAGCTATTATATTACCGGATTTCTTCCAAAAAGGATGTATTCAGTCAGGCACTTTTATGGTTATAAGCCTGTTACAGTAAAGTGTTATTGGGCTATAATAATAACAACCATCACCTCATAAATGTAATATGTTCCTAGATATTCCACACAAGAGACTAACCACTCACACTTCCAGTATAATCCGACATGAATGGGATTTTACCCAAACTGTGTAGGCTACAAATCTCATTTGACGCTGAGCAAGGTTGCGTGTAACGTCAAGGCTAGTAACTGCTTTATCCTTGTGAAGAACGGTGTGACAACTACCTGGCTGGTGACAAAGAATCCCTGCCTTTGTTCTCGATTTCATCCGCTGTAACCTCCTGCCCTCCCTCTCGCCTTTCTCCATCCCTTTCTGACTCCCTCTCTTTGGTTTGTCTGAGCGTCGAGCCAATGAGCCGGCAGCGGGAGGAGTTCCAAGCTGAGAGCGGGGGGAACCATCCTCTAAAAAGGGGACTAGGGAGTCTGTGGCTCGGGGGTTCTTGGGAGAGTGACTTGGGTTGGTCCGAGTTTCATTTAGGACCGGGGTTCCTGGGCACCACCCTCCTGGCACAGACACGCGAGATGCCACCCTCGCCAAGGAAATCGATCAAGGAGCGCGAGCTGTTCTCCCTGACCTCATCTCGATCATGCGCCTCGTAAGTGAATTCGTACTGACTTCTTATGGCCTTTTGTATTGTGTTACGTTCCCTTAGCGATAGGTCATTGGAAAGCTGCTGGTCGGTGAATCTATTGCCCTCAATGAATGCTTGTCCATAATAGGCGAAACAGCGGACTACGGATACATTCCGGTTTTCATATGCGCTCGCAGCGAACCAAATTTACAGTGGAGTGCCATACGATGAGATGTTTGTTTAGATTTGATTTAGAGTCCTCGTTGTTACAGCCTAGGTCAACTTGCTTATACTTTGGGAAAATAAGAGTCAGATGCAAATTCTTTCTCTTAATTAAATAGCTGTATTGCTCCCATTCACACTGACCACACCTCAAACTCAACTCTGGACCTCGAAGCCAGTTCCACTGCATTTTTTCATTGTTCACCTCTAATCAGAGACTGTTTTAGACCTGGGACACCAAATGTGTGCAATTAATTATCCGGTGGAACACAAAACCAACAGGCTCCGGACCTCGTGGGGTAAGAGTTGAGTAACCCTGACTGACTATGGGGAGAAAATAATGCAATTGCACTGTTGGCATTCATTCAAATCGGCAGTTAAGAAAGCTTATTCTAATGTTCTTGTTAATCTTATCTTTTTTGGTTCAGAATTATTTTTATTACCATTCTAATAGAAGTCAACTGACAAGTTAAAAAATAAATTGAGATTTAATCGCAACGACAAGTTAATGCAGAATAGATCCACAAAGCTCATAAATTATTTAACTTTACCATTTAGATGCCGTAGTCATAAATAGGCGTGTTTTGGAATATTTGTATTCTGTACTGACATAATAAATAGCTAACTCAGTAAAACTGATGGGAATCCTTGTGTTCTTAAGACATCATTTTAAGCCTAAACTGCACTGAGAGCACTTTGAAAACACTCAACTTCAATACGACACAATGTATGTTGAACAGATCATAAACAGCTACAAAACAAAATGTCAGGCAATATCTGATGTGTAATAAAGTGACCCAAAGTTCCATTTCTAATTGTCCAATAGTCAAACCCCAAATAGTGTTCAAGAATATGGATGAAAAACAGTCCTGAAATTCAGCCTAAAGGTCACTGGCTTTTCATTTGGAACAGATAAGAACAAGATGGAAAACTTGTAGGATGTCAGTGCCTGGTACAGCCTAATACAGCAGATATCAGCACCATAATAAACCGGTTAGCCTGACCTTACTGCACACAAGGACACAGAATCAACCACTATACGTTTCCCTGTTACTGTTACAGATAATAGTTATATTACTATGAACAGACTGCATAATCTTACTATTTACACAAGTAGCTACTACTGTATAATCTAATACAAATATTTTACCCCTACGAAAAGACCTAGAAGTCCTTCTGTAGGGCTGTGTGTCACGATAAGATAGTATTCAACATCCAAGGAGATTACCAAAACTCCCTACTTAACTGGTCAAGTCTGGATCAGCCAGGTATGAGTTGGGAAATGTTATTAGAGACGTAAATGTTACCTGGGAAAGCATGCAAGCCTGCAATCCTTCATATAGGACTGGGTTCTCAGAACTTCTCACTTAGTTTAGGACCTTTCCATCTCTTGCAGGGAGAGCGACCAAAAGTTCAACCCCAAGTAGAAAGTTAGAGGGGGGGGGGGGGGGGGGGGGGGGGGAGTGCCGAAAAATGGTCAGTGCATGTAATTGTGTATGTAGGCTATATGCTTGTGTGAATGTATGCTTCTGTGCATGCATGATCATGTGTGAGTGTGCATGTAGCACCTTAAGTAGTATATGGGAGTATTTGATGTACTGTAAATGCCTGTGGGAATGTATGTGTGTATGCGGGCATGTGCGTGTACTGTGTATGTGTGTCGGCTGGCATGCAGGAGTATAGCTGTGCAGCAGGCAGGCAGGGCAGGCCGTCTCCAGATGTCTCCATAGCCTGGGAAAACCTGAGGCGTTTTGGTAGAAGCCCTTTTATTCATTCCTCATGTCCATGGCCTCCTGGTGTTTATCTAGCTCTCTGTAGGCTCCTGCTGCTCAGTTTAATACCTTGGCAATATGACTGTTATTACTACTCATATCAAAATAGAAGTATTGTCATAGTGTGTGTGTGTGTGTGTGTGTGTGTGTGTGGAGGAATTGGATATAGTGCAAATCACACCATAGTCTAGACCTAAGTTTGCATGCAGTGAGTTTGCATGACAAAGCCCGTTGGCTGGTTTTATTCCACTCAGTGGTTAAGGAAATGTTAATTAGTTGGCTCTGGAGGTTTCCTTAGATGTAAAGTTTGATTTGATATATTTGCATTTAAGCTTTTAACTGCCACATCCAAATGACCTGCTAGACTGTGCATCTATGTGTGTGTGTTTGTATGTTTGTGTGCAGAGAGAGTGTGTGTGTTAGGGGTTCTGAGTGGAGTCAGGCAGAGTATTTGTGTCCAAGCCTAGCCCACAGCTAGCGATTGCTTTCCAGGACTCTGTGGCAATGCCTTGCTAAGAACACATATATACTCTCTAGAGTTTGGCAAAGTTCAAGAGCCAGTAAACGTAGGGAATGTGTCACTACGAGTTGAACCTAATAAAAGGAGGAGGAGAGACAGAGAGAGAAAGACAGAGAGCGAGAGAGAGAGAGATGTGGAGAGAGTGGTTGTCATTACTATTACTAGTGTCTGGTAAAATGGAAAATTAATTAGGCTATATCCAAACCTGATATCGTATTTCACCTGAAGGCAGGTGGAAGGCAGAGACAGGAATGTCTTTGGGGTAAAAGGTCACAGAATGTTTTCTTCGACTTAAGTACAGCAGCTTCCTCCCCTGTAATTACCATGACATTGGGCAGACCTCGATTGCACACTCTCTCTCTCTCCTGGGAGAATTCCAATAATCTACTGTGGTATCCTTTCCTATGTCCTATACCCTATGAAAGTCCTGTCTACTTCCTGGTTCAAATCCCGTACTGATCTTAAATGGGCTTCAAGCTTATATAATCAACTTCATGAAAATGGGGTCTTTTAAGATAAATATATTTGTGGATTAATATACCTTTACCTATCCAGTGCCTTCAGAAAGTATTCATACCCCTTGATTTATTACATATTTTGTTGTGTTACAGCCTAAATTCAAAATGGATTAAAATAAAAAATCTCACCCATCTACACACAATACCCCATAATGACAAAGAGAAAACATGTTTTTAGATTTATTGGCACATTTATTGAAAATTATATAAAAAAATACAGAAAAACACAAAAATGTTATAAATTGATTTGCATTTTAATGAGGGAAATAAGTATTTGACCCCCTCTCAATCAGAAAGATTTCTGGCTCCCAGGTGTCTTTTATACAGGTAACGAGCTGATATTAGGAGCACACTCTTAAAGGGAGTGCTCCTAATCTCATCTTGTTACCTGTATAAAAGACACCTGTCCACAGAAGCAATCAATCAGATTCCAAACTCTCCAACATGGCCAAGACCAAAGAGCTCTCCAAGGATGTCAGGGACAAGATTGTAGACCTACACAAGGCTGGAATGGGCTACAAGCAGCTTGGTGAGAAGGTGACAACAGTTGGTGCGATCTCCCTCGGCCTGGGGCTCTATGCAAGATCTCACCTCGTGGAGTTGCAATGATCATGAGAACGGTGAGGAATCAGCCCAGAACTACACGGGAGGATCTTGTCAATGATCTCAAGGCAGCTGGGACCATAGTCACCAAGAAAACAATTGGTAACACACTACGCCGTGAAGGACTGAAATCCTGCAGCGCCCGCAAGGTTCCCCTGCTCAAGATAGCACATATACAGGGCCGTCTGAAGTTTGCCAATGAACATCTGAATGATTCAGAGGAGAACTGGGTGAAAGTGTTGTGGTCAGATGAGACCAAAATGGAGCTCTTTGGCATCAACTCAACTCGCCGTGTTTGGAGGAGGAGGAATGCTGCCTATGACCCCAAGAACACCATCCCCACCGTCAAACATGGAGGTGGAAACATTATGCTTTGGGGGTGTATTTCTGCTAAGGGGACAGGACAACTTCACCGCATCAAAGGGACGATGGACGGGGCCATGTACCGTCAAATCTTGGGTGAGAACCTCCTTCCCTCAGCCAGGGCATTGAAAATGGGTCGTGGATGGGTATTCCAGCATGACAATGACCCAAAACACACGGCCAAGGCAACAAAGGAGTGGCTCAAGAAGAAGCACATTAAAGGTCCTGGAGTGGCCTAGCCAGTCTCCAGACCTTAATCCCATAGAAAATCTGTGGAGGGAGCTGAAGGTTCGAGTTGCCAAACGTCAGCCTCGAAACCTTAATGATTTAGAGAAGATCTGCAAAGAGGAGTGGGACAAAATCCCTCCTGAGATGTGTGCAAACCTTGTGGCCAACTACAAGAAACGTCTGACCTCTGTGATTGCCATCAAGGGTTTTGCCACCAAGTACTAAGTCATGTTTTGCAGAGGGGTCAAATACTTATTTCCCTCATTAAAATGCAAATCAATTTATAACATTTTTGACATGCGTTTTTCTGGATTTTGTTGTTGTTATTCTGTCTCTCACTGTTCAAATAAACCTACCATTAAAATTATAGACTGATAATTTTTTTGTCAGTGGGCAAACGTACAAAATCAGCAGGGGATCAAATACTTTTTTCCCTCACTGTAAGTATTTACATCCCGAGTCAATACTTTGAAGTAAAACTCAGCAAAAAAAGAAACGTCCTCTCACTGTCAACTGCGTTTATTTTCAGCAAACTTAACATGTGTAAATATTTGTATGAACATAACAAGATTCAACAACTGAGACATAAATTGAACAAGTTCCACAGACATGTGACTAACAGAAATGGAATAATGTGTCCCTGAACAAAGGGGGGTCAAAATCAAAAGTAACAGTCAGTATCTGGTGTGGCCACCAGCTGCATTTAGTACTGCAGTGCATCTCCTCCTCATTTACTGCACCAGATTTGCCAGTTCTTGCTGTGAGATGTTACCCCACTCTTCCACCAAGGCACCTGCAAGTTCCCTGACATTTCTGGGGGGAATGGCCCTAGCCCTCACCCTCCAATCCAACAGGTCCCAGACATGCTCAATGGGATTGAGATCCGAGCTCTTCGCTGGCCATGGCAGAACACTGACATTCCTGTCTTGCAGGAAATCACGCGCAGAATGAGCAGTATGGCTGGTGACATTGTCATGCTGGAGGGTCATATCAGGATGAGCCTGCAGGAAGGGTACCACATGAGGGAGGAGGATGTCTTCCCTGTAACGCACAGCGTTGACATTGCCTGCAATGACAACAAGCTCAGTCCGATGATGCTGTGACACACCGCCCCAGACCATGACGGACCCTCCACCTCCAAGTCGATCCTGCTCCAGAGTACAGGCCTCGGTGTAACGCTCATTCCTTTGACGATAAACGTGAATCCGACCATCACCCCTGGTGAAACAAAACTACGACTCGTCTGTGAAGAGCACTTTTTGCCAGGTTTGTGCCCATAGGCGACGTTGTTTCTGGTGATGTCTGGTGAGGACCTGCCTTACAACAGGCCTACAAGGCCTCAGTCCAGCCTCTCTCAGCCTATTGCGGACAGTCTGAGCACTGATGGAGGGATTGTGCATTCCTGGTGTAACTCGGGCAGTTGTTGTTGCCCTCCTGTACCTGTCCCGCAGGTGTGATGTTCTGATGTACCAATCCTGTGCAGGTGTTGTTACACGTGGTCTGCCACTGCGAGGACGATCAGCTGTCCGTCCTGTCTCCCTGTAGTGCTGTCTTAGGCGTCTCACAGTACGGACATTGCAATGTATTGCCCTAGCCACATCTGCAGGCCTCATGCCTCAGTGTTTAAACCCTTTACAATGAAGATCTGTGAAGTTATTTAGATTTTTACGAATTATCTTTGAAAGACAGGGTCCTGAAAAAGGACCCTAAGAGCTTTCTATACCTGGATTGTGCAACGTTTGCCAATTATTCTTTAAAAAAGTATTTAAGCTCAATTGGTTGTTGATCATTGCTAGACAACCATTTTCAGGTCTTGTCATAGATTTTCAAGTAGATTTAAGTCAAAACTGTAACTCGGCCACTCAGGAACATTCACTGTCTTCTTGGTAAGCAACTGTCGATTTGGCCTTGTGTTTAAGGTTAGTGTCCTGATGGAAGGTGAATTCACCTCCCAGTGTCTGGTGGAAAGCAGACTGAACCAGGTTTTCCTCTAGGATTTTGCCTGTTCTCAGCTCCATTCTGTGAATTTTTTTATCCTGAAAAACTTCCCAGTTGTTAACGATTACAAACATACCCATAACATGATGCAGCCACCACTATGCTTGAAAATATGGAGAGTGGTACTCAGTCATGGGTTTTATTGGATTTTCCCCAAACATAACACTTTGTATTCAGGACAAAAAGTTCATTGCTTTGCCACATTTTTTGCAGTATACCCTTTAGTGCCTTGTTGCAAACAGGATGCATGTTTGTGTTATTTTATAGTTTTGATGTCTTCACTATTATTCTACAATACAAAAACATTTAAATATAAAGAAAAACCCTTGAATGAGTAGGTGTGTCCAAACTTTTGACTGGTAGTGTAATTCCCACTTTGACATTATGGGGTGTTGTGTGTAGGCCAGTGACAAAAAGTCTCAATTTAATCAATTTCAAAATCAGGCTGTAATACAACAAAATGTGGAAAGGTTGAAACACCCAGCTCTTTCATATTGTTTCACTCCATTATTTGTGTCGTAGGGGAATTATCCATGTGTAGGGGAAAGTACACTCACAAAACGGATCAAACGCAAACCAGATTCCCACACAAATGCAAACCATGTTCAAAGCACAACCACTGGAGTAACAGGGACATATTTAGTCAGTGAAACAATGCACAAGCAAGTTGCAACAAAGCTCAATGAAAAAACACTACAGAAAGGGAGGTATATAGTAGTATATTAAGGGTGAATGTTATGCAATGTCCCTAGCAACTACTTTCCTTGGTATTCTTATGTTTGTCTCCCTTGCCTTTCCTCCATTTGTGACACGGGCCAATCAGAGTTTGTCCATTAGCTGCTTCCAGAGGGGCAACTAAACTAGAGGATCATGGGTAATATGTAGTGTTGTTTAGTCATGGTGGTGGCATGCCTGTTTGAGTCAATCCGCTAGCTTCACAGTGACATCATCATCCCATGTCTTGATGATGACCCATCAGTGATGGCTGGCTGCCTCTGGTGCTGTGTGCGTCATGCTTTAACCCCCTGGTGGCCAGACTAATGTACTACACTGACAAACAGCTGGAGGTGAATGTAGGGCTGTGTAGCGGCAGCATGCACTTATGGACTGTGCTCAGGGACACACATGCACATACTCGTATGTACACGCTCACATGCACAGGCAGACACACACACAGACGCATCGCACGCAACACACACACAGACAGAACATGTGCGCACATGTGCACACACACACTCAGTATGTGAGCAGGTGGATGTGTGAGAGAGAAGATAGGAGGAGTGGGATATATAGGAAAGGAGGAAAGTAGGGAGGGAGGGAGGGAGGTAGAACTGCTGCTGTCTGTCTGGCAATCATTCAGGCGGGATGGCAGATGTGTTTTTAATAATAATAAGCCATTTAGCAGACGCTTTTATCCAAAGCGACTTACAGTCATGCGTGCATACATTTTTGTGTATGGGTGGTCCCGGGGATCGAACCCACTACCTTGGCGTTACAAGCGCCGTGCTCTACCAGCTGAGCTACAGAGGACCACAAGGTGAATCTGTTGTTCCAGATGTCTCTTATGTAGTTGTAACACACACATGCACACACACACAGAGTTCGAGAGGGTGTATTTAGGATTGTTGTTTTTCTTTTTCTGATTTAGCCAACGCCAGTTCAATGGGCCGAATCAAACAGCTAATTCCTCTGATTAGAACATGAAGCCCACAAACAGATGGGAAAGGACAATGCACCACTATGCCACAGGCATTTCAATCCAACAGGTTTAGTGACATTTCCTCTATGGTGTACACACACACACACACACACTGAACTTGATGGTACGTTTTAAAATACAGATCAGATGCACTCTGGAAATCATGCAAATACACACACTAACTCAACACAAGGGATGTTTAGTACATTGAGTAGCCCCCTGATAAGTGAAAACATTGGAAGAGTTTCTGTGAATCACTGTTCCACTGTGAGATGCTGTTGGATTGTATTGTAAATCGCTGATCAACTCATCCTTGACCGCTGGCTATGTCCCTTCCGTCTTCAAGAGAGCGAGAGTTGCACCCCTTCTCAAAAAACCAACACTCGATCCCTCTGATGTCAACAACTACAGACCAGTATCCCTTCTTTCTTTTCTCTCCAAAACTATTGAGCGTGCCGTCTTTAGCCAACACTCTTGCTATCTCTCTCAGAATGACCTTCTTGATCCAAACCAGTCAGGTTTCAAGACTGGTCATTCAACTGAGACTGCTCTTCTCTGTGTCACAGAGGCTCTCCGCACTGCTAAAGCTAACTCTCTCTCCTCTGCTCTTGTCCTTCTAGACCTGTCTGCTGCCTTTGATACTGTGAACCATCAGATCCTCCTCTCCACCCTCTCCGAGCTGGGCATCTCCGTTGCGGCCCACTCTTGGATTGCGTCCTACCTGACCGGTCGCTCCTACCAAGTGGCGTGGCGAGAAGCTGTCTCCGCACCACGTGCTCTCACCACTGGTGTCCCCCATGGCTCAGTTCTAGGCCCTCTCCTATTCTCGCTATACACCAAGTCACTTGGCTCTGTCATATCCTCACATGGCCTCTCCTATCATTGCTACGCTGACGACACACAACTAATCTTCTCCTTTCCCCCTTCTGATAACCAGGTGGCGAATCGCATCTCTGCATGTCTGGCAGACATATCAGTATGGATGACGGATCACCACCTCAAGCTGAACCTCGGCAAGACGGAGCTGCTCTTCCTCCCGGGGAAGGACTGCCCGTTCCATGATCTCGCCATCACGGTTGACAACTCCGTTGTGTCCTCCTCCCAGAGTGCGAAGAGCCTTGGCGTGACCCTGGACAACACCCTGTCGTTCTCCGCTAACATCAAGGCGGTGACCCGATCCTGTAGGTTCATGCTCTACAACATTCGGAGAGTACGACCCTGCCTTACACAGGAAGCGGCACAGGTCCTAATCCAGGCACTTGTCATCTCCCGTCTGGACTACTGCAACTCGCTGTTGGCTGGGCTCCCTGCCTGTGCCATTAAACCCCTACAACTCATCCAGAATGCCGCAGCCCGTCTGGTGTTCAACCTTCCCAAGTTCTCTCACGTCACCCCGCTCCTCCGCACACGCCACTGGCTTCCAGTTGAAGCTCGCATCTGCTACAAGACCATGGTGCTTGCCTACGGAGCTGTGAGGGGAACGGCACCTCCGTACCTTCAGGCTCTGATCAGTCCCTACACCCAAACGAGGGCACTGCGTTCATCCACCTCTGGCCTGCTGGCTCCCCTACCTCTGCGGAAGCATAGTTCCCGCTCAGCCCAGTCAAAACTGTTCGCTGCTCTGGCACCCCAATGGTGGAACAAGCTCCCTCACGACACCAGGACAGCGGAGTCACTCACCACCTTCCGGAGACATTTGAAACCCCACCTCTTTAAGGAATACCTGGGATAGGATAAAGTAATCATTCTACCCCCCCCCCCCCCCCCCCCCCAGAGATAATTTCTGTAGTCTAGCATAGATCAGTACTCATTTTAATACAAAGGTTTCATGGTTATGATTTGAAAATTAGATTTTAAGATGAACGAGCTTTAGAGAATGAGATTAGAATCGAGTTAGACACAGAATATTCCTGAGATTCTCTAAATGAGTTTATAGCCATAGAATCAATCCCGTTGTCTGTAGTATTTCTGTACCTGATGCTGCTGCAGACTCTAATGTGGTTCCTGTGGTTGGTCTTCCCCACTGCAGGTGGCTGAAGGTAGTGCTGTGCAGCCACCTACACTATCTATGGACGCTCCTCATGGCCCTCACTGTGCTCTGTGTGGCCATCCAGATCCTAGGAGTCGTCTGGCAGTCCAGGTGAGTCTGGTGCAACTGTACATACAGAGGTAGGATCTTTATTTGATCTCCCTGTTGCAGGAGAACTTTCCCGCAATGCAGGAAATGCTAAACTTGTAGTGTATTTGAGGTTTAAAAAGGCTTCTGAAGTTTGATATTTAGTTTTCAACATTTTAGACTTGATTTACCCTTATGAAAAATGTATCAACCCCTACAAAAATCCATTAATTATAATCCACTTAATAATTCACATTTCCTGTTGCTACAGGATAATTTTCCTGCTGTAGAAAACTGGCTAAAATTAAGACCCTACATCTGTAGCCATCAGATCAGATCTTCATTCTACCTGGATTGATATTGCTGGCAGTGAAACCAGAGAGGAAGAGGCGAAGCGAGAGGATTTTTCTTTTTTGTATGGAGGTCTATGAGAGAATGTCTAATTACGTGAGGCTTATTTGATCTAATAGAAGTTTCGCAATGTATATTCTGTTACAAATGTGCTGATATTAGTGGATGCACGTGGCATTCCGGAAACTTTGAGAAAAACGACTGTTGTTCACACGCGTATCTGCCCTCTCATTGGCTAGAATGGTCCCACCTGATCGTGCCTGCCTTCAATCATTGAGGACATGTACTGTATTTCCATTGTTAGAGTGGTCGCTCGGCTATCTTGTCAATATAATAGTTCATCTTTGGTGAAACTAACAAGCTTTTACATTCCACTTCTCTGTTCAGGATAATTGTTTTGTTTTGAAACAGGCTGACGGTGATTGGCTAACTGAAGTCTAACACTCTGTTTGGTTTCAGGAACGATAAGATGTTGAGTGAGAAGCTCCTGAATGTGCGGTTTACCATCGAGATTCAGAGAACGCACCCGACGGAGCAGAGGGACTGGGAACGCTTGCGCTCTTCGCATGCCCCTGTCGTAGAAGAGGAAGTGAGGTCACAGGAGGAAGGAGCTCCTAAACAACCGGCCAAAGGGAACCAGAAGGTAGCAGAACATCAACATGGCAGAGATCACCAACATTTAAAGCTCTCAAACACTTTCAATAAGGTCAAAGACACTAGGAAAGAGGCAAGGGGTAAAGTTTCAGCAGTCAAGGCAGCCCTGCCCAAAGTCACACTGGGTGATGATGAGTTGCGTTTGGGGGTTCCTGGGTCTGTGGTTCTCCAGCTGGGCCACCCAGCTATCAAAGTGGTATCCACCCTGCCTCACAAACCTCTCCAGCTCCCCTCAACCAATCAGCTGAAGAGTAGAAACAGCCCTTCCCTTCTAGGCACCAACTCTGTAGTTACCGGGGTGATAAGCGAGGTGAAACCAGAGTTCGCCACCGCCACCTGTCGGCCAAAGAACCACATCGTCTTTCTCAAGACGCACAAAACGGCCAGCAGCACCATCCTGAACATCTTGTATCGCTATGGCGACAGCCGCAATCTGACCTTCGCCCTTCCGCTGAACAAGCACAGCCAGCTGTTTTATCCCTTCTTCTTCGCCTCACACTTTGTGGAAGGAGTGAGGAGCCGCAGTGTCAAAGAGTTCCACATCATGTGCAACCACATGAGGTTCAGACCACCAGAGGTGAGTTCTATCATCATAGCACAGGAGGTTGGTGGCACCTTAATTGGGGAGGAAGGCTCGTGATAATGGCTGGAGCGGAATTAGTGGAATGGTATCAGATACAGTACATCAAACACATGGTTTCCATGTGTTTGATGCCATTCCATTTGCTCCGTTCCGGCCATTATTATGAGTCGTCCTCCCCTCAGCAGCCTCCACTGCATCATAGATAATATCGAGGTTCAGACTAACACAAGTTGTATTTTACTACTATCTTAGGATAGGATTTTTTAACCAATAATTGTTAAATGGTGACCAAGGCATCACTAACACATTTTGTTCTTGTTTTGGTATTTTCCTGTTGTGTCTCAGGTGAGGAAGGTGATGCCCCAGGACACATTCTACTTCTCCATTCTGAAGAACCCCGTTGCCATGATGGAGTCCATCTTCATCTACTACAAGAGCATCCCCGCCTTCCACAAGGCCCGCAGCCTGGATGACTTCCTTGACAACGGTTGGCGTGGTTACAACACGTCCCTGCCCAACAACCACTACGCCCGTAACATCCTGACCTTTGACTTTGGCTTCGACAACAACGTCGCCACAGAGACGCCCGGAGACCTGGAGACGCGGGCCGCCACAGCCATTGGCGCCATCGAGCAGGACTTCCACCTCATCCTCATCTCAGAGTACTTTGACGAATCCATGATCCTGCTCAAGCGCGCCCTCTGCTGGTCTCTGGACGACGTCGTCTCCTTTAAGTTGAACAGCCGGAGCGAGCGCGCACGGAACATGCTCTCCCCGCACACCGCCGACAAAATCAGAGCCTGGAACGCCCTTGACTGGCGGCTCTACCTGCACTTTAACGCAACCTTCTGGCGACGGGTGGACACTATGGTGGGGCGTGAGGAGATGAGGCGGGAGGTGACTCGGTTGCAGGAGCGACGTGCCGAACTAGCCAAAACCTGCCTGAAGGATGGTGGTGCGGTGGACCCGTCGCAGGTGCATGACGCGGGACTGAAGCCCTTCCAGTACGGGGAAGCCATCATCCAGGGCTACAACCTGAACCCTGGGCTGGACGGGCCCACCAAAACACGCTGTCAGAACCTGATCACTCCAGAGCTGCAGTACACAGACACTCTCTACACCAAGCAGTTCCCTGAGCTTGCCACCAGGCAGAGACAGGCTGCCAAACTGGCCGCCTCACAGCGTCAGCCTGGTCCAGCCAAGGTCAGCCCAAACAAAGCAGCCATGACTGGGCTGGTGAGGGTGAGGGAGACCCGACACAGTAGGACAGCCAGGAGTGGACCCAGAAACCCTAATGCTCAGAACCAAAATGACCTCCCCCAAAGTGCCCTGTCTAAACTCACTGCAACTAGAAGTGACAGAAACATGCCTTGAGGTGGGGCTCTTTCAACATGGACTAATGGGACAATCCACAGGAGCTCATTGGTGCTGAGTACTGGGGTCTTTTTAAGATGAACAGCCAATGGCTATGTTTTGTCTGTACAGTGAGGACATTTCGCTGCACATTATGCTTACTCTGGCTGGCTGCAGTGCACAGGGCCAGTTAGCTGACTTTGGTGGCACTAGGATAAGCTCTAGTGTTTCTACCCAACGATACTGGACCTGTGTGGGTAGAGGGGATGGAGTTGGAGGAGGAAGAGTAGGAAGGAGAGGGAGAGCGCAACTGGGGTGACTGTCCTGCCTTGACCGGTTGGATTGGAAGTAGCATCTCCTAAACCCTCTCATCTAATCTCTGCCCTTGATCTTGTCACACACTGAGGTTTAGAATTGGAACCCTTGGGGTGTACTATGGTTTGAATGGGACATACTTGGTACTATTGATTAAACTGATTGGGGTTGGGTAAGTACAGTAGGTCTATGTGTATGTCTGTCTGCTAACACCAAAAGACAAGCAGTACCTCCATTTTACTGAAATATCTCAGGTCTCATTTCTCTGAGTTGATCTAAACTTTACTCAGAGACAAGGTGGCTCAATTTGGAGGTGAATAAAATACGCGATGGTATGGTAAACATGTAGACATCAGAGGAGGCTGGTGGGAGGAGCTATAGGAGGATGGGCTCGTTGTAATTTTGATTTGATTTATTAGGATTCCCCATTAGCCAACGCCAATGGCAACAGCTAGTCTTACTGGGGTCCGACATATAACGAAAAAGACAAAATACTTTACAATTTACATACATTTAAAAACATTAACATGTAGTGTGTGTGTGCATCTATCAGTTACACATATAGTACATGTCAGTACATACACACAACAAGTAGGACACATAGGGGAGAGGCGTTGTTTTTTCAAAACCAGGTTTGCTGTTCACTTGCGCTATATAAGATGGAAGGGAGTTCCATGCACTCATGGCTATGTATAATACTGAACTTGTTCTGGACCTGGGGACTGTGAAAATACCCCTGGTGGCATGTCTGGTGTGTAGTAAGAGTGTGTGTCGGAGCTAAATGGCTGGAATGGAATCAATGGAATGGTACCAAACACATCAAACAAATGGAAACAACGCGTTTGACTCTGTTGCATTGATTCAATTCCAGCCATTAGAATGAGCCCATTCTCCTATAGCCCCTCCCACCAGCCTCCTCTGGTAGACATTTAAGGGAAATGGGTTTTCGTCAAGATGTAATAACAGAAATACCGTTACAGAATGTTTACCTTAAGAGCACTTCTCAGCTCTTTGGATGCCACCTAAAGAGAGCCAGAGCTTCTAACATTCTGTAATAATAGATTTATACATAAACTCTCATGCAGATAGTTCCTAGAATTTCCTCATCCTTTTAGGTTAGTAACTGAGAGAGATTCAGTTACTAAAGGTAATTCAGTAACTGAGAGAGATTCAGTTACTAAAGGTAATTCAGTAACTGAAAGACATTCAGTAGGCCACTGTAGAGAAATATTCAGTTACCAAGACGGAGCAATGGAGCTTGATTCTCAGAGATGGGAATCACATTAAAATATTTAATTTCTTAGAAAACCAAATTATTAGTCTCTTTAAATTAAAGTGTGCTTTTAATTCATACTGCACTTTAGTGTGAATATATATATAAATGAATTGTAAAGAAATTATCGTAAAATGGAAATGTAGATTTTGTACGTAGAGATTTTGTGATTTGAGTCCTTATTTCACAAATGGTCTGGTATGTACGTTTCCTCATTGTTGTGAGCAGTGATGTTGCCACTTACTCGATAAGCACAGATTTAAAATTGAAATGGTCAAATAAAAGGGTGATATATTATAAATGGTTCTTAATTTTGTTTCTGTTCCGACTTTTGTATGATAAAACAATTTAACCTGAGCAGCAGAACATAATTGAGTTTGATATTGGGTGTGAGTTGCTGTACAGGCTGTAGTTTGCAGATCAGAAGACAGGTGGCAGCCTTGTCCTTATCATTTTCCGCTCAGCTTTGCTTAATGACAAATACAGTGCCTTCGGAAAGTGTTCAGACCCCTTCCCTTCCACATTTTGTTACGTTACAGCCTTATTCTAAAATGGATTTAAAAAATGATAATCCACATCAATCTACACACAATACCCCATAATGACAAAGAGAAAACAGGTTTTTAGAACATTCAAAAACAGAAATACCTTATTTATATAAGTATACAGACCCTTTGCTATGAGACTCGAAATTGAGTTAAGGTGCATCCTGTTTCCCTTGATCATCCTTGAGATGTTTCTACAACTTGATTGACAGCCCACTTGGAGTTTTCCAAAAGGCACCTAAAGTACTCTCAGACCATGAGAAACAAGATTATCTGGTCTGATGAAACCAAGATTGAACTCTTTGGCCTGATTGCCAAGCGTCACGTCTGGAGGAAACCTGGCACCATCCCTACGGTGAGTCATGGTGGTGGTAGAATCATTACATTTACATTTACATTTTAGTCATTTAGCAGACGCTCTTATCCAGAGCGACTTACAGGAGCAATTAGGGTGAAGTGCCTTGCTCAAGGGTACATCAACAGATTTTTCAACTAGTTGGCTCGGGGATTAGAACCAGCGACCTTTCAGGTACTGGCACTACGCTCTTAACCACTAAGCTACCTGCCGCCCCAATCATGCTGTTGGGATGTTTTTCAGCGGCAGGGACTGGGAGACTAGTCAGGATCGAGGGAAAGATGAACAGAGCAAAGTACAGAGAGATTCTTGATGAAAACCTACTCCAGAGCGCTCAGGACCTCAGACTGGGGCGAAGGTTCACCTTCCAACAGGACAACGACCCTAAGTACACAGCCAAGACAACGCAGGAGTGGCTTCGGGACAAGTCTCTGAATGTCCTTGAGTGGACCAGCCAGAGCCTGGACTTGAACCCGATCGAACATCTCTGGAGATACCTGAAAATAGCTGTGCAGCGACGCTCCCCATCCAACCTGACAGAGCTTGAGAGGATCTTCAGAGAAGAATGGAATGAACTCCCCAAATACAGGTGTCCTAAGCATGTAGCATCATACCCAAGAAGACTCAAGGTTGTAATCGTTGCCAAACTTGCTTCAACAAAGTACTGAGTAAAGGGACTGAATACATGTAAATGTAATATTTCCGGGGTTCTTTTTTTGTATGTGCAACATTTTCTTAAAACCTGTTTTTGCTTTGTCATTATGGGGTATTGTGTGTAGATTGATGAGGAAAAAAAACAACTTCATCCATTTTAGAATAAGGCTGTAATATAATAAAATGCGGAAAAAGTCAAGGGGTCTGAATACTTTCCGAAAGCACTGTACATGATGGAGACTAGATGTGTATAAACACTGGATGACTGGCAGGGGGCATTGTATTAAAGCCATCGCATCGCCTTTTTGGTGCTCCTCCTCCATTGTAAAAAAGTTTTGTAAGCTATAGAAATTCATTTATTCATGTCTACATTCGTTTTTGACAAGTATATTTAATGCATACTTTAAAAAAATATATTAAAATGTATTCCTTGAAGTATTGTTTTAAGAGAGTACTAATGGGACTGTCCCCACTACAACAAATAAATACTTAAATATATGTAGTTATGTACTTGAAACATTTAATTGAAATACTGTAGAATTCCATTCATTCCTATGGAGGACTGCTTATGCAAATTGTTTGAGTAGATTTATAACAGATTATTTCTGTGTGCGTGTGTGTGTGTGTGTGTGTGTGTGTGTGTGTGTGTGTGTGTGTGTGTGTGAGAGAGAGCATGCATGGCAGCAGGCAGGCCTAATCACCAAATATTGTGGTGCAGGAATGGCATAAGAGGAAATGTTTAATCAATCAAATCTGCCTCGCATCTATCACACACACACAGCAGTATTTGACAAATAGCCTATTTGGCATTTAGGGGGAATATATACAGTACCAGTCAAAGTTTGGACACACCTACTCATTCAAGGTTTTATTTTTTATTTTTACTATTTTCTACATTGTAGAATAATAGTGAAGACATCAAAACTATGAAATAACACATACGGAATCATGTAGTAACTAAAAAAGTGTTAAACAAATCAAAATATATTTTATATTTGAGATTCTTCAAGTAGGCACCCTTTGCCTTGATGACAGCTTTGCACACTCTTGGCATTCTCTCAACCAGCTTCACCTGGAATGCTTTTCCAACAGTCTTGAAGGAGTTCCCACATATGCTGAGCACTTGTTGGCTGCTTTTCCTTCACTCTGGCGTCCGACTCATCCCAAACCATCTCAATTGGGTTGAGGTCGGGGGATTGTGGAGGCCAGGTCATCTGATGCAGCACTCCATCACTCTCCTTCTTGGTCAAATAGCCCTTACACAGCCTGGAGGTGTGTTGGGTCATTGTCCTGTTGAAAAACAAATGATAGTCCCACTAAGCCCAAACCAGATGGGATGGCGTATCGCTGCAGAATGCAGTGGTAGCCATGCTGGTTAAGTGTGCCTTGAATTCTAAATAAATCACAGACAGTGTCACCAGCAAAGCACCCCCACACCATAACACCTCCTCCTCCATGCTTTATGGTGGGAAATACATATGCGGAGACCATCCGTTCACCCACACCGCATCTCATAAAGACACGGCGGTTGGAACCAAAAATCTCCAATTTGGACTCCAGACCAAAGGACACATTTCCACTGGTCTAATGTCCATTGCTCGTGTTTCTTGGCTCAAGCAGGTCTCTTGTTATTATTGGTGTCCTTTAGTAGTGGTTTCTTTGCAGAATTTTGACCATGAAGGCCTGATTCACACTGTCCCCCTCTGAACAGTTGATGTTGAGATGTGTCTGTAACTTGAATTCTGTGAAGCATTTGGGCTGCAATTTCTGAGACTGGTAACTCTAATGAACCTATCCTCTGCAGCAGAGGTAACTCTGGGTCTTCCAATCCTGTGGCGGTCCTCATGAGAGCCAGTTTCATCATAGCACTTGATGGTTTTTGCGACTGCACTTGAAGAAACTCTCAAAGTTCTTGAAATGTTCCGTATTGACTGACCTTCATGTCTTAAAGTAATGATGGACTGTCGTTTCTCTTTGATTATTTGAGCTGTTCTTGCCATAATATGGACTTGGTCTTTTATCAAATAGGGCTATCTTCTGTATACACCCCTACCTTGTCACAACACAACTGATTGGCTCAAACTCATTAAGAAGGAAAGAAATTCCACAAATTTACTTTTAAGAAGGCACACCTGTTTATTGAAATGCATTCCAGGTGACGACCTCATGAAGCTGGTTGAGGGAATGCCAAGAGTGCGTAAAGCTGTCATCAAGGCAAAGGGTGGCTATTTGTAGAATCTCAAATAGAAAATATATTTTGATTTGTTTAACACTTTTTTGGTTACTACATGATTCCATGTGTGTTATTTCATAGTTTTGATGTCTTCACTATTATTCTACAATGTAGAAAATATTAAAAATAAAGAAAAACCCTTGAATGAGTAGGTGTGTCCAAACCTTTGACTGGTAGTGTACAGTTGAAGTCGGAAGTTTACATACACCTTAGCTAAATACATTTAAACTCAGTTTTTCACAATTCCTGACATTTAATCAAAATTCCCTGTCTTAGGTCAGTTAGGATCAA